TGCATATAATTACTGTAGTAATTTTCTAGACCCAAGAATACTTATAGTGCCAACACATTTGTTGGGGGAGGCATGTTCTTTATCACACTTGACTTTGATGGGTCTGGTTTATTGCCTTTCGCATCTATAACCTGTCCCAAATACTTAATTTTAGATTAAAAAAAAATTCACATTTATCCAAAGTAAGATTCAAACCATATTTTTTTATTTATTCAAAAACTTATTCAACCTGTTCAGCATGCTGTTCTTGGTTTTACTCTTAAGATATCATAAAGGTAGGCCATTGTGAAGTCAACGTCATTCAATATCATATCCATGATTTGCTGGATAATGCCTGGTGTGACCATAAACCTGAATGGCAGTCTGTTGAATCTCTACAAACCTGTATGCATATGGATAGTTAAATACTTTGCATACTTTTTGTCGACAGGAATCTGGAGGTACATCTTAGATAAATCAAGTTTTGGAAACACTTTGCCAAATTTGATTTTGCAAATATGTCTTCAGAACTTGGCAGAGGTTAATTATATGTTTTCAAACAATCATTCGATCTTGTGGAAAAATCTGCATAGACCCTAATTTTAATATTTTTCTTTTTCATGTAAATGGTAAGGCTTGCCCACTCACTTTAGTTCATTTTACTCAACACACCTATTTGCTCTAAGCGGTCTAATTCTTTACTAATGGAAGCTTTGGCTGCAAAAGGTAGTTTTATTTTTGGCCTAAAAATAGGCATCACATTCTCTTTGAGTTTGAATGTCGCTGTAGCTTTTGTGCACCTGCCAAGACCTTCAGAAAAAATTTCAGGAAATTTTATGTTTAATTCTTTTTTTAATTTTTCCATGCTGTTTGAATTAACGCTGACACTATAGCAGAATGAATTGGTTGGTTGGAAAGGTTGACTGACTCAATCCAATCCATACTGAACAAGTTCTGGGTTCATTTCATTACAAATCCTTTTAATTTTATAGTTTTGCCAATTACTGTCACATTTGTGTAAAATACTCTTTCAAAATTTAGTTTATTTCCTGTAATGCCATTAGCAATTCTTTTTGTCGTTAATAAAGTTGGTCTGTCAATTTTTTTCCCCAAGTTTGTTCATTTACCAGTATCAGATCTAAACTACTATCCAATTGGAACTTAATATTTTTATTGTACATCTGTACATTTATAAACTTTCTTTTCATTTTTATTTCTTTGTTTTCCATTGTAGTTAACTGTATTTTTCATTTTTGACTCCTTTTTACTTTTGGGTTTTCTGCAATGCTTATACCTTTTTTTGTCACAATTAAAGCATTTGTTCCTTCTAAATGGACATTCCTTGTAATAATGAATCTGTCCACAGCCATAACTAGGATTTATTTTGTGGGTAACATTTTATTTATGTTGTCTTTGTTTAACTGCTTTAATTTTTGACATGTCACATTCCATCTTTGCCGTGTAGTGTCCAAGATTTTCTATTCATTCGCATTCTTCTGTGACCGTTTGCAGACTGATTTTTGGATTTTGTTCTAATTTAGACAAAATTCTGGTTCTAATATTGTTATCTTCTGGAGCTGTCAGTCCTTGTGCAAAATCAAGCACTTAAACATATCACAAGTAAGTTCCTTTAATTTAAACTTATCCACACTCCGTATTGACAATCCCAGCAAAAGTTGAATAATCCCCCCCACTTTTTTTGTAAGGTTTTAAACACTGCCATTGTGTGTTGAATAGAGAACTTTTCTCCCCCGGAAGTTTTTTCAAAATTAAGACAGTCTCTTTGAAGGATGTTTCCCCAGGATTTCTCAGAAGTATGTAGTTTGCGTACTTTTTGTGTTCACTTGGACCAAATTTTCTGACCAACAGACATATTTTCTTTTCATCCGACCATGTAGTGCAACCTTTCTGAAAAACTTCATAATGGCAAAAATACACCACAAAAGTTATCTCCTCTTCAGAACTACCTAAATTCACTAACTGAATTTATCACTGAATCCTGCGAAAAAGAATTTGCATTGCTTTGCTCTTTTTCCTTTTTCAATACTAACAATTTGAACATTTTTTTCAAACTGTTCATTTTGTTTTTCAGAGTGTTTCTGGTCCAAATGTTCAACAGTTCATTTTGTTTCTGCTGGTTTTCCATGAATTACTGCTTCTTTTAAATCCCCCATGTTTCTTTGTAGAGACAAAATTTAACTGAACAAATAAAATTCTTACTTGTTTTTAACATGTCAATCTTTTATGCAGACTTGGAATTAATCTGACGTTGAGTCGTCACCAACAATTTCTTGGTATATGACTAAATTTCTTTAAACCCAAATCCATGGTCAGTGTTGGTATTACACACAAAATGTTCATTGTCAAATGTTGGGAATTTTAACATTCAAATCTCTCGTCACCAAATGTTGTCATAAATAGGGAAGGTTGACACACATATAGAAAATAAGTAGCTTATACCAGAGAATAATATGGTAGATGGTTGAGAACACAGGCTAATGTAATAAACTGTCCATCACTAATTCCTCTTGCTCAGTAAGAGAGTTCTGTTTAAATAGTCTTAACACAGTCTGTATTGTGGAGGTGTTCAGCTACTCCACAACAATATATATATATATATATATATATAAAAGTGAAAATTGAAGTCAACACTTAGAGGCGGCAGTCTGTTTCATGCTAGACGCAATCGTGACTTGACAATTGCTCTATCTCTGATATTGAGCACTTTATCCCATAAATTTAGCACACCTTAAGACTATATTTCTTCATATATATATATATATATATATATATATAATCATTTATTCAGTTAGCACATTTTGCACTGCTGAGGTGACCACTCTCCTCCATCACACAATTGTGGTTCATGCTGACATTCAGAGCAAAATAGTGCAATGACTTGCTGGCTCTTTTTGCACTAGGGATCTTGAGATTTCTCTATTCCTCCTCTTGGCCTACAAGACAGAAAGTGGTTTCAATTCAGAGTTTTCCTTCTCCTGGAGTAGTTGCCAACTAAGTTATAGTCTATCCTGCTATTTACTCGTAGCTGGTGGGGGAGAAGAGACGTTTCCCAAGTGTATTAGCTTTAAGTGAATGCAACAAACTTGCCTGGGATTTGAATTTGCTGCTTCAATTCCCCAATCTGAGCCACTATCCATTACTCCATGGTATCTCACTCTCTGTGCAAAAAAGACACCAAAATTATAAAATGGAGATGCTCAATGTAAAAATTAAAAAAAAAATACAGAGTTTAAAATGTAATGATAAAACTAATAAATAATAATAAAACTTTTCAGACATCAGACCTTTCTACTTGCACTACTGTTAGTTTCATGCAAGTGAGCAATCATCAGGAAAGAACATTGTTCTTAAATCCCACCTGATAATTGTTCTTATGAGCTTTTCTCTTTGGTACTTCAAATACATGAATTTAAGCATACTACTAGATTGACAACTCTGTTGATTAACTAGATATATTCATGAATTCTATTCTTATAGTTTCTTTTCTTGCACTTCTCAACTGGGATGGGGTATCTATCTCTTCCAGTTTTGGTTTATGCCTGCATCATGTTGAAACACCAGTTCCTGTAGGATCACTGTAGTTAAGCAACATCAAGCCTTATGGATGACTGCTTGGGGATATCAGGTTCTGTAAGCTTGGTTATACTGGTGGTATAATGGATAATGGCTTGGAATTGTTAATCTGAGAGTAAAGTTCGAATTCCAGTTGGGTTCCTTTATATTCCTTTATATATGCACATAACCATGGGAAAAGTATGAATCCACCTCTTCTGCCCCTCTATCTATGGTTTAATTAGTAAGACTTGTATTACTAAATCATTATCTTCCACAAAAGAAAAATCTAAAGATATTTTCTGGCTTTAAATAATCTGCAAAGGGTTGATAAGCCATAAAAAAATTAATCAATAAATCTTCTGCTTTCTTGCTTCCCTGTCAGCTACAATCTTCAAAAAGTTAAATACAATGTTAATCACTATCTCCTGTTTTCCTGAATCCTGTTCTTTTATTATCCTTTCTTCTTCTCTTTCACTCTGAGTAACCCCTTGCATCTTGGTGGCATTATTGCCTTGCTTGGGATGAAATGATTAAAAAAATAAATATATTGTGTGTGTGTGTGTGTGTGTGTGTAAGAAAGTGAGATAATATTTACTCTATAGTATTATTATTAGTATTATTTTTAATTCTCTTTGATTTTTGTTTTTTTAATGTTTCTCAAGTGTTTTCTTCTCACTGTAGCCAACTCTTTTGTTTTTCTTCACTCTCTTGCTTTCTCTACCTGCTTTTCACTGTCAGTTCTTTTTTTGCCTTTTGTCTCTATTGTTGACTAAACATGTGTGCACAGGCAAAGATCCTGTTCATTAATTTATACACAATTATCAAGATGTTCTTGTCTTCTGGGAGATGAGCCGCTTGATATGTTTTTATGTTGTAGTAGATAAGATCACAATTCTAGCAGATATTTTACACAATAGCTTTAAGTTCAAACTTTGAAGCAGGCTTCTTGTCTGAATGCAAGTCTCATACATGTTGCTCATTATAGTCAGTTGTAACATGTAAAAAGAGAAACTAAACATTGTACACAACTTGTCTTCATACACATTTATGACTATTAAGTTAAAAAAAATGATCAAGATTTAATTAAATAAGATTGGTTTTTGGTTGGTTGCCTGCCTTGTACAGTTGGCTCATTTTTGGCATGATACTATTCGATTTGTTATTGCTGACTCAGTCATCATGACACAACCTCTGCCTTGATCTGTAAATCTATGGAATGTTGATAAAAACATCCGGCTCATAAGAAAGCTTCTTCACAAATCGTTCTTTTTTTCCTTTCTTTTTATGTTATTTTCTAAATTATTTGGCCTTTTGAGATGAAACCAAATTTTTGTTTCCTGCATTGATCTCTTTTTCATGATAATCCTTATAATCCTTCTGTATTTTTCATTGTCTTTCTTTCTTTATATTTTATTTTATATTCATCAATTAGTCACTTGATTTAGTCTACTCTTATCTCTCTCTGTCTCTGTTGATTCTTTCGATTTCACTCTCTGGATTTCACTCCACTCCTTTCTCTCTCTAATTTTCCATGATTCTCTCTCAATTTACTCCTTATCTTTTTTGCAAGGTTACCCCAACCTGCAATGTACTCTTGCCTCCTTTGTAATGTTTTCCTTCCAAATTTACTTGCATCTTTGCAAGATTTTATCCTTCTCTACATTTATACTCCCTAACCTCTTTGCAAGGTTCTCTCCCACACCAAATTTACTCCCTGGCATCTTTGCAAGGTTATCTCCCACTCCAAATTTACTCCCTGTCATCTTTGCAAGGTTCTCTCCCATTCCAAATTTACTCCTTGTCATCTTTGCAAGGTTCTCTCCCACTCCAAATTTACTCCCTGGCATCTTTGCAAGGTTCTCTCCCACTCCAAATTTACTCCCTGTCATCTTTGCAAGGTTCTCTTCCACTCCAAATTTACTCCCTGATCTCTTTATAAAGTTTTTCCTTTCCTCAAATTTACTCATTGACTTCTTCGTGAGGTACCCCTTACCAATTTTTTCCCCCCAACTCTTTTGCAAGGTTCCCTCTAATTTACTCCCTAGAGTCTTTCCAAATTTCTCTCCCCCTTTTTTTCATTCCCTTTTCTCATATTAACCTTTGCATTTCTCTCATTCTAATAGAAAAAAAATTACAATTAATTTGATTTTTTTTTTTCCATTCTTAACAAATATCTCTGGAGATAAACATTCCCAAATCAGGTTTCTTTTTTCTTTCTTTGAATGAAATTGTTAAACACATTTTATCATAAAATCTCAAAGTTTTTATCTTTCTAAAATGTGTGTATTGGAGGCAGTGGAGAGGGTAGTAAAAGCTTGGGAGTATCCTTTGTATTAATCTCATTATTTCAATTCAAATCAAAATGAAATTATTTTATTCCATAGAAAATCAGAAATTCATTATTAGAATTCAAGGACAATAGCAATCAACTTTATTTCTGTTCATGTAATGTTTATTTCATATTTTATTTCTCTCAAGTCATTATTAGCTTGACAATTCCAGAATCTTTAAAAAATTCTAATCCTTCAATATCTGACCAAAATAAGGATCTATTACTTGTCACGATATAAAATCTTTGCTTTGTTTATTGTTTTTATCCAACTGTTAGTCATTCTTCTACTGTTGTTTTGCTGGTTGCTGCGATATCTTTCTACCTAAATAATGAGTTTGCTATGCTTCTGTTAAATGATGTCAGATTTCTTACTAGTATGCATCTGCTTAAATACTTACATATGCATAGCTCTGTGTGTGTATGTATGTATGTGTATATATATATATATATATATATATATATATATATATATATATATATATATATATATATATATACATTCTGCTTCACACATGCTCTGATTGCTGTTTCAATTACTCATTTTCTGTTTACTTTATGAATAGGTTAAAACACTTCTCTATTCTCCATCACTAATCTCTCTCTCCTTTTATATATATATATATATATATATATATACTTTAATGTATGCTGTATTTATGAGTAAAACACTAATATAAAAGTGAACGCTGAGGTTAATGCTGAGTGGCGGCAGTCTGTTTCATGCTTGAATGCAATCTTCAGGCCATGTGCATTGGTTGTTAAGTTGACTATTTATACATGCTGGTTGGTCGATAAGACATTATGAGTATCAAGTTCATGTATTTCTGGTTTATTGTATTAACCCAACAGTTATTGCGTGAGTAGCAATGAATATATTTCAAATTATTCTAAAGGCTATTGAGTAGAAATAATTGTGGGTCAGAATGTGGTTATTTGTGGCTATTTTATAGTGTTGTTTGCTAACTCATTATTTTTTATTGATTACTTTGGGTTTTTTGTATTTATTAACTAATTATTTATTGTTGTTGTTATTATTATTATTATCATTAAATTTAATTGTGCTCATGCATACATTCATTGTTTGTTAATTTGCTTATCGTTTATTTACATAATTTGTTTATTTTGTTTTTGGTGGGTGTTATCTTTAGTTTCAAGTATTGGTTCTGTTTAAAATATGTTGCATTATCTACATTGTATGTAGTGCATATATTAGCATTTTTCTTTGTAAGGTTTTTTTCATTTGTATTTAGTTATTGATTTATTAAGTAATATAGTAAAAATTAATTTTTGTGTCTGCATTTTGAGTTAAATTCTGATCATTTTAGAAATTTGTGTTCATCTGGGGAGGTAATTATAACTATTTTCTTGAGAAAGTTTACAGTTTTTTATGTATTGTTGTAGACTGATACTGTTTTCCTTATTTCCATGATATTTTTGGTGTAATTTTGTTTTTAATTTCCATATGTTTACAAAGGTTTATGCTGTTTGCCTATTTAGTATTGGAAAAGGATGATTTATGTGCATAGTTTCTGTTTTCAGGGTCCTTCAGTTACTCCAATATTTTTCTTTGTTATCTATTGATTTTACAGTGGTTTGGCATGTTGTATTATTTTGCAAACAGTTGGCATTTAAGGAACATTGGGGGTTTGCCCTGTAGTTACAGGTGGGTTTAGTTTGTCTGGGTGATCTGTTGATAATTTTTCTGTGGTGCTTTTTTTATTATTTGTGTCATACTCTTGGTGCAAATGTAGCTGATGTTTCTGTCGGCAGAAATAATGTCATATAAAGAGGGTATATCATCCATAAACTTTGTGACAAAGCAAGCAGGACAAATGCACTGGTTATAATATACAAAAGCTTTGCAGTGTTTGATCATTGGCTAAGATAATCATAGAACTTACTCTATAAAACAAACCATATTCAAAACTAAGGTTTAGATTGAGTTCAGCAGATTGAATGTCCAAATTCGAGGAGGCAGCAGTCAAGCTTGTTTAAAAAGAAAATTCATTACCAATTCATTACTATGAAAAGAACTTGAATTATAAAATCTAAAATATTAGAAAATAAAATTATCCTAGGTGGTTGCTCTATACAATGAATACAAAACTGAAAAATTTCAACAATAAGCCCAATTAGTGATCAGAGCATTTGCTATAGGTAATAAAACAATTTTTTCATCTCCAATAAAATCACTATTCTGTCTTTATTTACTTAAAAATCATGTGTAATTGGAATTATAAAGTACTGGTACAATCTTAACCTTTTGCACTCTTGCATTAATAATATTACTTCCCTTTCCACTGCATTCTTTTTCAAGGTCTGTCAATTGCAATATCCTTATTATTTTACTCAAAGTTGTTTTTTGCTGCCATAGCAAGATATGACAATACAACTATGAAATTCAAACAGACTATTGTTCAGGAATCAGATTCCCCTTCAGTGGCAGAATAAACTTTTTGTATGACAAAGTCATATACAGAGTCATAAAGGTCAACTACTGATTAATTTCTTCATTTCTTTAGATGTCACCTGACCTCAAGTTTTTTTATTTTTATTTTTATTTTCTCCTCTGATTTTTAAAAGGTTCTGCTCAATGGAGCTAAGGCTTCACTTCTTTTATTAAGTAAATCTCATTACTGCTGAACAGCAAACAAAACGCAGAAAAGGAAATTAATTTACTAACTCCACAAAAAACTTTAATATATCTTCAAGCCTTCTTCCTATTTATTTAAGTCAAAGAAAATTTTGTGCTTTGTGTTCTATTGATAATAATCTGTGATATAGCAAATGGTAAAAGAACATTTACATCAAGAAAGAAAAGCATTTTTCTGAATGTTTTTTTTTCAATACTGGACATTACATCAATATGGACCAGTTCATTCCCATTGTCTTAGAAGAATGTTCCTAAATTAATTGAGTCTATGCAATCATAACCAATAATTTCTCTGGAGATTTCTTTGAAAATTATTTTCTCTGTGGAATAGTATTTATAGTAACAAACAACCAGTCTCTTCACCATAACTGGTCTTCTTGGTCTATAGAGATCATCAGTGATAAAGAGATGCTATATTCAAATAAAACTAAAGAAGCTAGTAGATTAGAAGAGATTTTCATTTCATGCCTGATTATTCCGTATGTGCTAATCTTAATGGTTAATCAGAAAGACAAACTGTCTCTTCTATAAATGGATTCATTTTTGCTTATATAACTTGTAACTCTGTTGTCTTGAATTAAAAGGATCTTGATGATTTAAATATATGGCAAAGTTTAACAAATGTACCTGGTAAAAGATGTGTCAAAAGGACATTTCTTCTCTTGACAACACCATTGTATAATGACTCAGCAGTTTTTATTGTTTTAAAAAGTTATTTTCTTGAGAACTGACAACAAAAATGCTAAACACTATACTTGTAAATATTTCTAATAAATCACTTCTCAAGAAAAAAAATGTATAAATCCAAATACTCACAACCTATTTTAGTGAATAGAAAGAAATGCCTGGATTTAGTGAATAGAAAGAAATGCCTGGATTTAGTGAAATGAAAGAAATGCCTGGATTTAGTGAAATGAAAGAAATGCCTGGATTTAGTGAAATGAAAGAAATGCCTGGAAGATGCATTTTTTCCAAATTTATAATTACAGTTACTTGTCCTTATCTGTTTATTTATTTGTTTTCTTTGTTTCAGATATTTTTATAAATTTATTCATAAATGTATTTTTCATAGTTATTTCTTTATAATATGGCAAATAATAAACATTGCATTGTAGTTGGTTCATATATTCTTATAATCTTGTAAATATAAAATTATTCTTGTAAATAATTTAATGAATAGTGTTTAATATTTTTGTAGTTAATTGTGAAGAGAAAAGAATATATAAATCTAGTTTCATATGTTTAGGTTTTATTAAAATACAAAAAATAGCTTTTTAAAATCAATAAAAATTGCAGAGGGTGTATTTGTAATTGTGATATCCAGAGAAAAACTGTCCTTTTGACATACTAATTTTTTTTTTTTTTTTTTTTTTTTTTGTGGCAGGTACATTTGGTAAACTTTTATCAGTAGAGCAGATTAAAAAAATGAAAAAAAATGAAACGTTCTTCACATTGAAGCTTCAACTATTCATGGTATTCACTCTGGTTTCCTTATTAATCCAACAATGTTTAAACTTAAGTTCTCAAATCTTTACAATTGTAATATTTCTCAAGTTCCACTAATATAGTTTTCATAATGAAAATTCTTCCTTTTCTTTTGCTATTTCGCTTGTGATAAATATTCTGCCTCAATCTTGACTATTTCCTCACTATTTTAGGTTTATGCAGAGTACAAGTAACTTTTTTTTTTTTTTTTTTTTTTTTTTTTATTTGAATGTTATGTTTTAGTAATTTTTGTCATGTGTTCTTAAAATTTTGCCTCCAAACATTTGTGGCTGTCTATCAAATTGTTTGACAAAAAGGAAAGGAAAGTTTACTCGTCTTTCTAGCAAAAAAAAAAAAAATTTTCCTTATTCATACAAATTAAAAAAAATGGTGGGAATCCAAATATAACCCCCCTCTCCCGCATTTCTTTGATTTGTTCTGAGGGTAAAACAGTATTGTATAAGGTGCTGGATTAGTGTTATAGCTTATATGACAAGCCTAATTTTCATTTTGGGTTCTTCGTTCATCTGGTTTCAGTTTAGATCAATTAACTGGCATTAAGATTGTTGATAAGCTTCTTCCATCTTTTACTGTCTGCTATGAATATTGTCTCGTTATGACTCCATA